CTACAAGCTCAATATATATTGTCGATTTCCCTGTTTGTTATAGTAAATAAGGAATTATTTACATTCAACTCACAAATGCATAATTGTAGTACCAGATCTATCTGTGATCTGCATTATCCGCAAACTAGTCTAACACAATTCCAAAAAGGAATATGTTACATGGGGGTAAAGATCTTTAATCATTTGCCACCAAAAATCAAATCTATGTCTAATGACTTCAAAATTTTAAAATTCAGTTGACAACATTTTTATTTTTATTTTTTCAAGAAGAAATGTTGCAAATTTTAAGTATCAACTAAAAATCGAATCATGGGATGAGGTCTATCTTCAATCTGATGTAAATAGTGCCTATTGTGTCTTCCTAAGTAAGTTTTGTAAGTATTTTTTGCACTTTTTCCCTTTGAAAAGAATTTTTAACAAGAAAGGGAAAAAATCAAGTTGGATCACACAAGGGACAAAGGTATCTAGACAGAGGCTACAACTTTTACGTTTGTTAAAAAGAAAGATGTCCCTGCCAGTTCACACTTTGAAGTATATAAAGAAATATCAGAGAATTTATAGGAAAGTAATTTCTGTTGCCCATCAAAGAGAAAATTACCAAATTATTAAAAGGTCAGTCAAAAATTAAAAAACTCTATGGCAAATAATAAAAAAGGAGTCAGGAAATAATTTTACAGAAATAGAAAATATTTCTTTAGAAATAGACTCTAAGTTAGTTACAAACCCATGGGATGTATCCCAAAAATTTAATGAATTTTTTGTAAATAGCGTAGACAAGCTGATACATTTAAATAAAAACTGTAAAATTGACCATGCCACTACAAATGATGCAATACAAGAGGTTCTTCAGGTTACTAGTAAATTAAAAATGAAAATTTCAGCAGGTTATGACAAGATTCCAGATATGTATCCAAACCATAAAAAAGCCTTTGATTTTTATATTTAATCTGTCACTAAGTTCTGGCATTTTTCCAACTCAAATGAAGATTACAAAAAGTTTGACCTATTTTTAAGAAAGGACAGAAACAAAATATTGCAAATTACAGACCAATCTCAATTTTGTCTGTTTTTTCAAAAATTCTTGAAACATTGATGTACAATAGGGTTGTAAATTTCTTAAATAGATTCAATCTGATATCAAATGCTCAAAATGGTTTTAGAAAAAATAAATCCACGTTTATGGCAATTCAAACTTTTATTGGAGAAATTCAGAAAACACTAGATAATAAACAACTGGCCTTTGGTATATTTCTGGATCTATCAAAGGCTTTTGATGTTATTAATCATAACTTGCTGCTTGCAAAGTTGGAACTGTATGGACTGAGAGGAATATCTCGTGCATGGATGAGATCGTATCTTACAGATAGATCACAGTTTGTTGAAATTCACTATATGGATCAAAAGACTTCAAAAATGAAGACAGTTACTTCATCCATTAAAGCAATTAAATATGGTGTACCTCAAGGTTCTGTTTTGGGACCCCTTTTATTCCTATTATTTATAAATGATCTGCCCCAAGTTATACATAATGCAGAGGTAGTACTATTTGCTGATGATACAAATATATTGATTACGGGAAAAAATATTTTATCATTAAATGAAAAAATTCAGAATGTAAAGACTCAGTTAGAAAAATTGTTTTATGAAAATCGTTTAATAATAAACATGGATAAGTCAAAGGTATTGTTTTTTCGGGGAAGTAGATCTATTCAAATTACCAGACCCCTTTTTTATTTAAATAATAAGGAGGTGGGTTATTCAGTGGATGTAAAATTTTTGGGTATTTGCATTACTGAAGATTTAAGTTGGGCAACCCACACCCAATATGTGTGTCAAAACTTGGCAAGACTACCTATTTGATAACATCCCTATGGGACTCAGTGAGCCCAACTGTTTTAAGAAGTGTGTATCTTGCAAAATTTGAGTCCGTGTTGAAATACGGTATTATTTTTTGGGGTGGGGTGCAAAAGGACTCTGAACTCAATTTAAACTGCAGAAAAAATGTGTAAGGGTGATAAAAGGTGTTAAAAATAGAGTTTCCTGTAGAAATTTCTTTCGTGAATTAAAGATTTTAACTGTTACTTCTTTATATATTTTTGAGATCCTATGTTTTATGATAAAAAATAAGATTTATACCACCCAGTATTCTGATGTTCATGGCTATAACACTATTCATAAACACAATTTGTATGTACAATTTTGTAATACTGAGCGTAGCAAGAGAGGGGTGATTAGTATGGGAACCAAAATATTTAATGTCCTTCCAACTGAATTAAAGAATGTTAAAAATTTTAATGTTTTTAAGAAGAAACTTAAGAATTATTTGTTGTGTGATGTCTTCCTTTCTCTTCAAAAAATTTTTAATAATTGTTGACATGGACTGTTTTGTTGATAAATCTGTCTGTATATTTTTACGCCTTTTTTGGAGTATTTATTATTACTAATTTTTGACGTAAACTGCTTGTTAATAAAACTGTCTATATGTTTAAAATATTTATTCTTATGTCTTTTTTTTTGGAGTATTTATTATTCTTA